TTCTCTGTTTTAGATATTGATTAGAAAGATTTAAAAATCCTTGTGCAAATTACATTGAATAAGCAGAAAACAAAGTTCAAGTTTCAGATTAAAAAATGCAATTTTTAGTAAAGTTGTGATGAATAAATGGATAGCTAGTGTGATAACCTAAAAAAACACGTCTAAAGAATATTTCATGGCGTGGTAAACAAGGCTCGTTATGTATATATTCTGTTAACATTAAATTGCAAGCAAGTACTTGTAACAAGATTTACTATTTTTGCTGCTAAAATGCCTAACTTTTTTTTTTTTGCGTAATAGTCACTGATTTGTTTTTCTTTTGTTTTTAGCATGAGATTATTACTTTAACTATGCATTTTATTAAATAAGAAAATATTTTATATAAGCAGTAAAAACTTTTATAGCTCTTTGTGTTTCATTTTTTATCAAATAAGTAAAGTTGTTAATGAAAAAACTAATATTCTTGTAACATTAATGTTAAAAGTATATGGCTATAACAAGTATAAAATTAAAATTTGTATTAAATAAGCAATTTTTTAATGAATTATCAGACAGAATTGCACAAAAACTAATAGCTCTTGTAAAAAGCTGTTTAGAGGAGCAGCTTGCATGGTTTGCCATGTTCATTTTAGGAGAGCTTTTTTCACTCTTGCACATATACTTCCACCGAGGCATATATATATATATATATATATATATATATATATATATATATATATATATATATATATATATATATATATATATATATATATATGTTAGAAAAATAAATGAAATGATTGAATTGAAAAAAAAAAGTACAGTTGGACGAAAAAATGTTCTTAGTTACACACATTTCAAATAATAATAAAATAAGAATATTAAACTTTGAAGTTAACAACTTTAATAAAGAAAAATGATTGTACATATTATATTTCTGCTCATTAAAATCGTCTAAAAAACTGCTAATGTTTCTTAGCAATGTTATCAACTCTATATACAGCTACTGTTTAAACTGAGTACTTAATACTGAGAACAGAATTGTTTTATAAACACTACTATAAAGATTTGTTACATAAAACAAGATTTTTACTAAATATATTTATTTTTTAATAATTCTATGTATATTCATTGTAGAAAAGATGCAAAAGTAGCAATTTTAAATTCATTTTTGATTCACTCATTTATTTTTTGTGATTTGTGGCAAAAACTTACAAGAAAACAATTTTTTTTTTTAATCTATTTTCTCTTATTTTTATTTATTTTTTTTTAAATAAAAAAATTTAAAAATGAATAGTTATAGTTTATATAATTTATAATATTTGTCAATGAAGCGAATTATAGAACCATAAATAATAAAACTATTTTAAAGGCTTTTTCAAAATTTAAACAATTTTATGAAATTTTGTTATATGCATTTTTCAAATTACATCTTGATTATTTGTCAAACCTTGCTTTTGAAAACTATTTTTTTTCAACCGGTCAACCATGAGCAGCAAAAAATCATTCAAGAAAGTATTAGCATGGTTTCTTTTAAAGTCATTGAAAATGCATTTTAAATTTTAGTAACTTATTGTTGTTTTTTTTTATAATAATTAAAAAACTATCAATCGCATAATTGTTTTTTAAAAAAAGTACTGAAGCTATGCGTTCGTCTTTTAAAATTTTAAGCGAATGCCAACTAGTAAGTGATCGGGGCCTCAGCCCCGGCTAAAAACAGAGTATTTTGCAAACCCGGCTAAACGAACACATTTTGAAGGGTTTACTAGCCGGGGTTGGATTTTTTTTTTAAATTTAATTCTTTTATGTCAAAAAGTCAAGGAAAATCATGTATTTTAGTAAATTTTACAAAAGTTAAGAAGTTATTTAATTTTTGTGGATTCAAACATAGCACATGTTATTGCCTCATAAGGAATGGCTAATGTCTAACTAAACATAACTTTTTTTTAAATCTTGACTTTAGAAAGATTTTATAATAAAAAATCTGGAAATTATTCAAAGAAAATTGTTTAGGGGAGAAGCCAGGGGAAATAAAATACAGGCTAATACAGGCTACCCTGTATTATTATTAGTTTATTTTCCTTGTTAAAATTCAAAATAAAATTTTATTTTAAAAATTAAACTTTTTTAAAAAAATAATCTGACCAAACATTTTTGAAGAGTCTCTAAACAACGGGTTCACATAATATATAGCATAACAGTAAGTTACTCTTCATACATATTTGTTGGTTTTGAATTAAGAAAATTCACTTATGGTATCAAGCCCAAATGAAGATTGTAATATATTATGCTGGAAAGACAGAGTGTTTTTGTAAATTTTGTTATCTTGGAAATCCACTTAGATCAGTTGGTGGAGCTGAAGAGTCATTAAGAGTAAAAGTAGGAGAAGATGATGGTGATGATGATGAAGATGATGATGATGATGATGATGATGATGATGATGATGATGATGATGATGATGATGATGATGATGATGATGATGATGGTGATGATGGTGATGATGATGATGATAATGATAATGATAATAATGATAAAAATAATATATTTATATGGTTTATCAATGTTAATGCAGCCCTGGTCATAAACCCGGCCCCGGCCCTGGTCCAATATCAACCCCGGTCACTAACTAATGCCAATGATTGCTTAAGTAAAAGTAAAGCCCTTGCAACTTTCTTGTAGTAAAGCCCTCGCAACTTCCTGTTTTTTATGATGTTATCTGTGTCTAATGCTGCATTTATATAGGCATATATATATATATATATATATATATATATATATATATATATATATATATATATATATATATATATATATATATATATATATATATATATATATATATATATATATATATATAAGTTTTATAAATTAGTAGTGTAGGCTGTAGATATATCTATATATATCTATATTTATCTATCTATCTATATATATATATATATATATATATATATATATATATATATATATATATATATATATATATCTATATATATATATATATATACATATTTATACATCTTTTTAAATATCTTCAATTCTAATAAGGCTGCAAATGTTGCTAGATCAACTGACAAAAATTAAAACATGCAAGGAGTGTTCCTACATTGAATGAGAAATAGGTTAAACATGCATTGAGTGCTGCTAAATCAATTGACAAATCGGTACAACATACAGGAGTGCTGCTATTATTTTATTTGTTTTAAAAAATCTTCACTTCCAACAAGGCTGCAAGCAACCACTATTTGAGTTAAAAGTTACTGAAAGAAAAAGTTTATAAAGTTTATAAAGTAAGATAACAATTAATAGAAAACTTAAAAAATTGCAAACTATATGAATCAGATAAACAAGATGAAGGGAGGGACTTCCTGATAACTGATGTTTGAGGAAAAAAACTAGACGAATAAGAATTTTTGGAGCACTTAGGAACAGTCACAGTTAAAGGATGAGACTTAATTGAGTGATGAGTAACACAAAAATAAATTTCAGTGGATGGCACAAGAGATGTTGTTTCTTTAGAGCAGCACCTGCTATAGTATTCATAGAAAAGAGAATGACAAGCAACATTATGACAGCATGACAATGAAGATTGAAGGTTGAATGAATAGCAGGTCAAACTATGTTTACAGTGTGTTTTTGCACCTTGTCTAAAAGAGAAAGGGCATCATTTGAACATTGACTAACAAATAGATGAACATGTGAGGAGTGCTGCTACATCAACTGACAAATAGGTAAACATGCAAGGAGTGCTGGTACAGTATAGTATATTTAATCTATAGAGTAAATAGATTAGCAATTGTTTACTTCTTTTGCTTACCCTTATATCGTACAGATTTTTCAGAAAAATAAAAGAAAATATTGCTAACTTACGCCAAACTTTTGTTGGTATTGTTGTACCTCCTACCAGCAACAAGCAGGCTATATGATAGTTAATGTATATACTGATTCCCCTTTTTTATTATACGATCTTTATACTTTGGTTATTTAAGCTCCATATTTTTTTACAGAGTTCTGTTTTATTTCTACACTCAGGGTGACCAGCCAACTGGAAATCAAGGAAAAGTCAGGGAAATTTTTCTTGTCAGGGATATCAGGGATTTTCAATTTTCTTTTTAAAAGTCAGGGAAAAAATTTCTTTTTCAAGTTTTTCAAATTTTTTTAAAATGTTTTTTTTTACAAAATCTCACACCATCATCAAATAAAATTTTTTTTTTATTCATTTTGCGATTCGTTCATAAAATCATACAGAAAAATAAAATACTACATAATAAATAAGGCCTCTAAACATGGCTTTTATATATTTCGCTTGAGTGAGGTTTAGTTCAAATATTTATGGCTTTCTTTTTTCTGTAAACTTTAAACACGTATTTACCATTGTTTGTTATGGTAAATAAACAATGGCTACGAAATTGAGGAAGTTTGGAGTTCTAATTTCACTTTCAATTTTAATTGTTATTGTAATGCAGTATACTGTTTGTTTAAAATAATTTGAAGTTGTTCTGTTTCTTAAATTTGGAAAAATATAGCATGGCTATAATCAATCTATCTTAGATAGGATTTTAAATCAACAGGAGGATTTAATGTCATTAGCTAATTGAATTTGTTTTTTTATTGTCATTGTAAAAATCATTACATTGATTTTTATGAAGTTGTGAAAGTTAGGTTTTAATTTTGATATTATGACTTGAAATAGGATCTTCATTTAGAACTCATGTTAGACCATTTTGTTAACAATCTTTTTTAAAGCTTTATTGTGTTCTGTTAAAAAAACTTTTATTAAATGGATATAAAGACGAGTTTGTTGTCCTCAATTTTCTTAAAAAGTTTTCTTCTTTGTTCTTTTGTGAAATACAAACATAAGGTTAAAAATAAAAAAAATAAAAAGTATATGTACATAATATGACATGACAAACCTAATATAACTGGACTCCAAGCTGTAACCATTAATGAATCCAAATAAGAAATAAAACGTTTCAACATTATGAGGTTTTTGATTTTTAATTAAAAATATGTTTAAATTTCAGATTAAAGCATTTTTGTGTTTTGGTTCTTGTATGGCATCATATTATCTTGATGAAGATCCCAATTTTCAAGTAATTATAACTTGATTATAATAACCACTTTCTTACATAAAGAAAGATACTTGTTTTGATGATAGTATTTTATTAGTTGTTATTTAATTTATTTTAGTCTTAATTATCGTAACTGTTATTAACTGTCAATATAGATAATATAAAAATGATTATAAAATATCATTTAGGTTTCAACATCAAAAATGAAAATTGAACAGATGTTAAATATATTACAATTAACTTCAGAAAAAGCAATCACTAAAAGTAGCTACTCTTGGCTTGTATATAATTGTAAGATCTGATAAATTTTATTTAAAGTGTGTATATATATGTACATTTTTTTTTTAGTTATTCACCACCCCAAGGTCAAGAAGGCCTCTACAGTTGAGGAGGCTAATTTGTGTTTGTGTGTGTGTGTGGTTACCACATTCTCTCATCTTTATAACTCTAAAACACGAACAAAGGCCACTGCGCGGAGAAAAAAGTTGAGTGTGGGTACTACCAGGGACATGGTGGGGATCGAACTCAGAACTTCTTGCTTATGAGGCAAGCGTTCTACCACTACACCACTACCGCATTAGAGCTGCATTCTATAACTACACCACCACCACATTACTGCATTCTACCTACACCACCACCACATTACAACATTCTACCTACACCACCACCGCATTACGGCATTCTACCTACACCACTACCGCATTACATTTACATATATTTAATATATAAAAAATATATATAAAAAATACAACTTCATGATGAAACTTAAAGTTTCATGTCTCTCAGCAATCAACAGCCATCTATCATAGCATCTCATATATCATAGAATTTGTATCTCATTTTGGTACAATATCAGCAACATCTAGCTCCATATTTTGAGTACTCTACTCATGTTGTCTGCACAATTGAAAAGATTTAAAACATTCATTTAAGAACATTTCGATTTCATCAATTAAAGATAATTGATATCAATCAATAAAAATGTAATTGCTTTGAGCATTAATAAAAAAATAAGATAGAAAGCTTTTCTTATATTAGTTATGACATAAAAACATTAATTTCCATTTAAATTTTAATAAAGACACATTAATTTATCTAAAGAATATTTATTAAATAATGCTAGTACCTAAATATACAATAAATCAAATGCAAAAACCAAAAATGAAATTAATAAAGAAGTTGAATACAATTTGCAGAACATTTTCAATAAAATAGGCATTAACACATCACCTAATTGTTTTTTTAATTGTTTTAATATTTTTATTCGTTGAATTATCTAAAATAAAATAGTACAAACAATCCAACTGTCTGTTAATTAAACCTAAGTTTATAATAAAAGAAATTAATTTTTTGTATTAATTCAGAACTTGTGAACTTCATCTTAATCAGTGGAAAAAGATACAATATACAATATAAACTAGTTCAATATACAATATACAATATAAACTAAAATATAAAGATACAATATACAATATAAACTAGTTCAATTTTATCAGTACGCATTTTTTATGTATTTTGAAATTGTTGATTTTTACCGTATATAAATGAAAAACTTTTCAATGGCAATATTATTTTGGTTAAGCAATATCTTGTTTAGTGATTCTGCTTTTTATTCTGTTGTTTGCATACATTGTTGATTTATTGCACAAAAAAGTTATTTGTTTATAATAATAATAATAAATTTGGATTAGGAAATTAAGCAGGTTATTTGATGTTTTTGATGTTTTAATGGGAACCTATGACAGTACAGAAGTATGCAAACTTATGAGAAGTTTTTCTTTTGTTTTAGATTACACATATATATAATATAAATGATTTTAGATTAGGGGTAAGCAAAACCGGATAGCGGGGCCTGATATTTTTACAAACCAGACTTGATAACCAGTTTCAGGTTAGAACTTTATGTTCACCCATAGCTGAAACCATAGTTACACACCATAGTCACCCATAATTAGCAAAACTGGACCAGATACCCAGTCCTGTATTTGCTAAAATCCAAATCCAAATTTATCAGGATATCCGGTTTTGTTCACCCCTATTTTAGATTATATATGAATATATGAGTTAAGTCTGCAAATTCAAAAAAAGTGTAAAAAATTTTCAAAAACCTTTTTCTATATATAATGGGGCATTATTAAAGTTGAGTTTTGGTTACAAATTTTCTTTTTGCCCTAAGTAAAATTTATCTCATACCAAGAGCAATAAATGCAGCATCATTTGATTCAACCTTTCAGCAAAAATATTGGCACAAATATAGGAAAAGTTCCACATAGTTTACAAGCTCCATAAAGTTTTCAAAAGAATCACATTAATCTTAGTTACAACTGAATGCCAAATATAAATTTTGTGAGAGAACTTATCAGGAATTTAGTGCGAGAAACTATCAGGAGTTTAGTGTGAGAACCTATTGGGAATTTATTGTTAGAAACTGTTGGGAATTTAGTGTGAGAAGCTATCAGAAATTTAGTGTGAGAAACCATTGGAAATTTAGTGTGAGTTTAGTGTGATTTTCTATTTAGTGAGCATTTAAAAAGATAAGTTAGTTAAATTTTGTGTTGGCAAAGAAATGTGTTAATATTTAATTTATTATTATCATTAGGTACTATACATATTTACAACATCTGCTTGAAATTGTTAATGCAAAAACTATCAACAATTGCAATTGATTATCTAATATGGTGTTGCGTTTGTATGGAGTCTTCCATTCCACTAATGACAGTGAAATATTTGACATGGCGCACTCAATTGTACATAGCCACTAGTGAATGTTATTATATTTTAAATTCAGGAGTTTGTGGTGAAGAGTTTGCAATAAGAGGTCTGCAAAAGGTAATTAAAGTCTTATGTGTTAAATAAAATCAGATAAACCCTAAATATGTAATAGGGTTTATCTGTTTTTATTTACGTATTAAATAAAAACAGATAAACCCTAAATATGTAATAGGGTTTATCTGTTTTTATTTACGTATTAAATAAAAACAGATAAACCCTAAAGAATAATCTTAATCCTAATGTTTTTTAAGGTTATTGAATTAAAAGAAATTGAAAAGATGAGCTCATCAACACCATGTCCACTAAGATTACAGATGTTTAAAGAGTCCTTTCTCAAATTAAAAATTACAATATTTAAGAGAGATGTCTTTGAAAGTAGAAAACATGCTAAAAGTTTAAAACCAAAGTTTAAACTAGTATTAAATGAAATTCTCCATGTAAGTCTATAAGTTTTTTTTAATTAGACTTTTTTTAAATGATTGGCTCATAATTTTGTTAAATTATTTTTAGAATAAATGGCCACGAACAGCTTGTGAACAACTGTTAATTGAGTCTTTTAATGGGAGATCTGCCCAGTTTTTTGCTGTAATAGAGACTTTAGCCAGTAAAGAGCATGAGACAATTAAAAGACAAAATATTCAACATGAAGATGAAAATGAGCAAGAATTGATTTCGGAACTCTTTTTTGCAGGTGTTGAGCTTGCTACTTTAAATGGTCATGATGAAGATCAGAGAGTTAACCGAATTAGCGTGTCTGAGTCTATAATTACATTAGCTGTTGCAGGTTAAATATTAAATTATTATATGCGAAATGTTTTAAAACATTGTGTGCTTTAAGTGGTACTAGAATAATAAAAAATGTGGAAAACATGTTTGAATACATTGAAATGTTTAAATTTAAAATGATGTTAATTTTTTCATTCCAAAAAAAGGCTTCAATGTAAATTATGTTGTGACATGAATCAATTTTTATTAGTTATAACAGGAAAGTAAGTTTTTTGGTTTGATAACCTGTTGAGTTACCTTGGGGATCCACAATATTTGTATATAGCTTTTTCCAGAGTTGTGTATCTCTGCTTATGAAGCTGTGTTTTAGGATATCAAGCATTTTGTTAGCCTTTGCAGCAATAGATGTTTATCTATATTTATATATATTATCTATCTATCTATCTATCTATCTATCTATATATATATATATATATATATATATATATATATATATATATATATATATACATATATGTATTTATATATATATATATATATATATATATACATATATATATATGTATATATATATATATATACATATATGTATTTATATATATATATATATATATATATATATATATATATATATATATATATATATATATATATATATATATATATATATATATATATATATATATATATATATATATATATATATATATATATATATATATATATATATATATATATATATATATATATATATTAGGATGATGCAAAAAACAACTTTTTTAAAAATAGTCTCCTGCTCTTAACTAAATGTGTTCTATATAATACAAAAACACTAGGTTTAAAATTTTTTTGAATAAAAAATATTTTTAGGGGTGCCTCAAGACATTTAAATATTTGACAGGTCCCTAATGTTTTGAAAAAAAAGTTGTTTAAAAGTATGTCAACCTGGTACTCAAAAGAAGCGAAATTATATAAAAACTTCAACAATAATGATTAATTTACATAAAAGTATTTTTTCAGATATAATTGCCTAAAAACTATTGTTTTTAAGGCGATAATAAAAAAAGTCAATATTTTCAAGTTTTTTTAAAATAATTTATTAAAACATGTTTATAAATTATATATATATATATATATATATATATATATATATATATATATATATATATATATATATATATATATATATATATATATATATATATATATATATATATATATATATATATATATATATATAACAAAGGATTCATTATTTTTGACATAATACTTGCTATATATATATATATATATATATATATATATATATATATATATATATATATATATATATATATATATATAAAACAAAGGATTCATTATTTTTGACATAATACTTGCTTGTGTAACTTATGCTTATGTTCCAATTTTGCAGCATTGTCATAAGTTTAACACAGCGTTCAATACTTTGCATGTGGTTTGGGTAAACATAAGTTGTAAGTGGTACAATAATGACAAGTGAATTTGTTTGTTTGGATCTTTGAATTTCTTAAATGTGATGTAAGTGGTGGTTTTATAATTAGAAAAATGTTCTAGGTAATTAGATCATCCCAGTCATAAGCATTTCAGTTGATTGGTATCTGATATTGTCTAAGTTTCAGATCTTAGAGAGTTGGTTTCTTAATTTGAGAACAGGCTCTGTTGTTTTTATATGCTTGTTTTTTTTAAGTCAGTCATCATTAGCAAAAGAATATTTTCAGGATGAACAAAGTATACATTATGGTTAATGTAATGTTTAACAATACCAACATCTACTGAAATTTAGCTAAGTGTTTCATGTTTTGAAACACATGTTTTGATCAATTTTCCAAACTTTAAGAAAACTAACCGTAGTAAAGAACAATTAATTGAGTTATTAACTAAAGGTTTTTGTTTCATTTAATTATGGATACATAAAGTCTGCAAACTCATTTAAGTAGAATTAACTATCTACTGTAATTTAAAGGTCCAGGTTTTATCCTGAAAAGATCTTTAGTCATCTCTCTTCTACTCGTGTGGCTAGAATATCTATGCTGATCTTTACTAAGATTGAAATGTGCTTCTTTTAATAGTATAGGTAATCAGTGTCCATTTATAATAGTTTAAAATTTTACAACAGTCAATATTTTACACATCTGAGTAGCTTTACCATTTGGTCCTGTAAACAAACTTCTGCCAGATATTGGTACATCAAGTTGTATAAACGAATCCAATAATAGCAGTTCATTAGTGAGTAAATGACAAATAAACAATTGTAGCAGATGTTCTAACGCTTTCTCCAAGTTCTGTATTACTCATCCTTTAGAATTTGTGTTTACATTGATGCTATCACAACTGACAGCTCATATATCAGTAGATACAACCATTTTGATAAATTCTGACAATATGAAATCTGCATTGTATTTGCTTTTACCAGATTTTGGTTAAACATGTGATTGATATTTCCATGTTCTACAACCAACATGTAATGCTCTTCTTCCTTTATACTCATATACCATTTCTTTCTTCTGTCCCTGGTTCATGTATTACTATTTAAACTATCAAAATACTATGAAGTAATTTTTTTAGTACATGTATTATCATTTTCTTAAAACTGTTTTCTTAACTTTATTCTCTCTGTCTTATTAATTTAATTTTATCAATTACTTTAATTTGGTCTGCATGAGTCACAATACCAAAATCCATCAATACAACTGTGACAAAGTGGCTGCAGCATGATTCGAAAAGCCATATCTGTCAGACTCTATTGCTAGGTTTGCTAAGTCTACCCTCATCTGTTTACTAGTTTTTAAACTTGAACTATCTGAGTCTGACTTGTCTGCCTCACTTAATCTTTTTACGCTTGCGTCATGAAGCACTTATTAGTTTATAGAGTATCAAAAAGAATTTTATAAATAAATTTTGTAAGACTACAACATGAATTGAAATATTGTTGGGACTACAAGCTCTAAAGGGGTTTGTATGAGAAATAACTTTAACAGTGGAAGATTAAGTGATTTGGATGTTTAGCAGTGGAGTTATCTTTTTTTTTAGATTATAATTCAAGAGATGATTTAGATAAAAGTTTCTAAGCAAATAGCTTTGGTTTATCTTTGGAAGAGGCAATATTATCAGACCCATCAGTATGAGAGATGTTAGCAATGAAGTGTTGGAATCAGACCCATGAATGAGAGATATTAGTGATGAAGAGAGATATTAATGATGAATTAGACCCATCAGTATGAGATGTATTAGTGATGAAGTGTTAGAATCAAGCCCATGTTTGAGAGATATTAGTGATAAAGTGTTAGACTTCTCTTTGTTAATAATGCTTTTAAAGATTTTTCAAAAAACTCTCAAGCCGAACATGTGAGATAAACAAAATTAAGTAATTTAAAAGTAATTTTTAGTAAGGTTTTAAAGTTCAACAATATCTTTTTTGATCGATTTGTTGCAATTGTGAAATGATATTTGTTTTCTAGAGAGAAAATCTTGTGGAAATGCACGAGACAGAAAAAATGCAGCTGCACGAGACAGAAAAAAAACATGGAGTAGAGTAAGGCTTTAAACTCATGAAAAGAAATAGAAGTCTCTATGACTGCCTGAATTCAGGAGATTACCAAGGAGGTGCAATATTCAGTAGGGGAACTAAGGACATCAGCCTAAAACCATTACAAAGAAAATCAAGAAAACAATCTCAATCAGTCTTAAGGTAGTTGTAAGAAGTGCAATTATAGGATAAACCTGATGTAGAAGGTGTATGAAGAAGAAAGTATGAGACATAATGAGTATGTACTAGAAGGAGTATAATGTAGAAGGAGTATGAGACAAAAGTTTTAGTGAGAGTATAGTATGATCTGAACTATTTATAAGAGAACAAGAAAAAATTGAGTACAAGCTAGGATCAGAGACAAGATATAAATCATAGAATGAAGGTAAGTGACTATGGTTGTTCAAAAAACTAGTCACAAAGTTAACTATTCCAGTAGGAGAATGAGAAAGACAAAATTATGATCAAAATAAATTAAGAGGGTTAGTGGGGTTAGTGGTGCTACACCATGTCATTCAGCATTGTAAGCATTAAAGTGACTGTTAACAACAATGTTGGCTGAGGGGTAAAGAGAAAAAGCTTATTCAATTTAATCAGAAACAACATCGAAAAGAGTTGACAGTCTGGAAAAGGCTATCTGAAAAAGAAGACTAATAAAAAACAAAAAGAATGGTAATTAAGTGAAAGAAGCTTAATGAAAGAAGATTTTAATATAATAATAATAATAATAATAAGTCAGAACCGTAACAACTGAGAACAACAGATTTGGAGTAAAATAATATAAGATGTTGTACTGTAACAGCTATTATTAGTTTTTTAAAAATTATAGTTTCTTATCGCTACACAATTTGTCTTCTCTACACAAAGGTAGTTCTTGAATTGGTTAACTGAATCAGCTTCTATGATCTCATCTGTCAAGTTTTTCCATGGATTAGTTACTCTGTTGAAGAAGAAATTAAATCTATACTTGCTTTTACAAAAAGATTTACTCAAAGTGTATTTGTGCTGAGGTAGGTTGGGTTAGAAAACTTGAAAATAATATCTAGATTGTGCTCAATTTTGTATTGTTGGATTAAATCACCTTGCAGCCTACTTTCTTGTAGAGTTTTTATACGCATCATTTTTAATCGTTTTTTGTAAGAAGATTTCTTAAGTGATGGTATGAGTTTGGTTACTCTACATTGAATCTTTTCAATTTTTTTGTTTGAGATAAACCAAACTTGTACAGCATACTCAAGATGTGGACGCACAAATGTTGTATATAATTTTTTAACCATATTTATATCTAAGTTTTTGAAAGTTTTAGGAATTAAAAACAGGATTGAATTAGCTTTTTGAATTGCTGCATTAATTTGTAACTAGCTGGTATGACCCAACAATTTCTAAACTTGTTCCTTAGTCTTTATACCACACCTGACAATTTCTAAACTTGTTCGTTAGTCTTTATACTTTAATTTATTTAGTAAACAGCAAAAAATAAATCAATTTAAAGTCCTGGTAGATGGTAAAATATAAATTTTAATTGCGAACCATAAATTATAATTTATGGTTGTTTGCAGTTAAAGTTTGCATTTTACTATCAATCAGATGGTAAAATGCGAGCTCTTGAGAAATTTAAATTGAACTTTAATTGCTTGTTAAATTATAATTAATTTAAAAGAAAAGTCTTATGTAAATAAAATATATCGAATACCAATATATTTATTTTAAAAAATCGATGAGCAAATGTTTTTAATATCATGACTGCTGTGGTCATTAAAATGTCTCTCGCTAAAAAGTACACAGTTTGCATTTTACTGACTACCTAAGCTTCTTGGTTTTTAATTTACTGTTCTTTAGAACTAATTGTAATTTTTACTTTATTACATTATTACTCATTTACTTCAATATTTTCTACATAATAAAAGTATCTTTATCATATAAGACAGTTGCGTGAAACTTAGGCTATGATAATATTTTAACTCTTTTATTTAAAAAGCAGTTTATTTAAAAAGCAAATTTGGACATTGAAAAATGGACCCAAGAGACCTAGTTATTTCAAATAAGTTAGCTTTATCTGTTTGATGTATTTTATAAAAGCCTTTCCGTAAAAAAACTCTTAAATTATTTATATAATTACAAAAAAATTTATATAATTGTTAAAATATTTTAACAATTAAACTGTTTAACCTCCGGAATTAGCTGTGGTGACCCGTATGATACGGGTCGTGGCAACCCTATTCCACATCCGGCTATTTCCAAACTTGTTCTTAGTTAGGTCTCTATACCCTAAGTAAACAGCAAAAAAATAGTCGATTTAAAGTTTTTGGTTAACAATTGACTTAATATACTTTAGAAACTGTATTTATTTACTTAATGTACTCTAATATTTTATACATAAAAGGATCTTTAACATAATAGAGACAGTTGCGTAACATTTCTTCAGGTGTTTTTGAAAACTATAATCAAGATTTTACTCTCTCATCAAGATTTATTTAAAAAACAAATTTGGACATTAGAAAACTAGTCTAAGAGACTTGTTATTTTAAATAAGTTAGCTTTATCTGTTTGATACTTTGTATAAAAACGTTGCAAAACTGTTAACAAATTCATTCAATTAAGATATTTTTTACATCTGAAGTTATTAAACATGTTGTTTGTACTAATCAATACTTAAATGCGATTTAAGTATAAATGATTTCTATTTATATATATAAAGAGCAACTGAAATATAAAAAACAAAGCAAAAATGATCAATATATCCATTTGAAACAATAAATCCAAAAATAAAAAAATATAGATATTTACTTAAGATACAATAAAAACAATTAAAAACATATTTTTCTTGAGATAAAATAAAAATATAAACTTTAAAAAAAATTACAAAAAAATATTATATTTAACAAAAAGTAACAAAAATACTTAAAAAACAATTTAAATTGAAACATTGTTTCATTATTATTAGGCTTTAGGTAAGCCATAATCAAGTCAGCCATAAGAAAAGGAACTCGACCTAAAAATGGAACAGAATTATTTTAAACATTGTTGTATGATTACAAATTAAAGTGTCATACAATCAATTAATTTTTTTACAACTCAAAAATGCAAATAACTGGATAAGAAACTTACTTTTTATTTTTCCATAATCCTGACAGATCAACATAAATGTGAGCTAAGCCTATTAGGATAAAACATCACAACAATTAATTAAACAGCAGAACCTAGGAATGATGGTTGTAACTCATGTATAAAAACCATCATTACCAGATTGGTTATCATGACACGATGCAGGCATCAAATATCCAACGCAATGCAAAATTTGCCCACAGACCCTAAAACAGAAAGGGCGATTGTTTGAGGAAGGAGCTAATTCGGCAGTGAAGGAAGCAAAAGATAAAGAAGAAATATAACTCCTTATGTGTTTAAGGAAATTTTGATTTACAGCATGATCAACATGGTTTCCTGTCATTAATCAGTCAACAATGGTGGATATAGAGAAAGAGGAGCTAATACAACTTTTCCTGAATGGCAGCACAAAAAATGAGTTTTATTTAAAAATTTCTTTGCACTACAATACTGACAATTATGGTTGAAATCTCCAAGGTAATTACTTTCTGTAGCAATATTATTTCTTGCTATGCGATGCATACTATACCTATTGAGTTCTCGCCTAACCTGATTTCTTTCATTTCGATTACAGTTTATTTCAGCTCGCCTGGACTCATCTCTTTCTTTCCGATTACGGTTTATATCAGCTCGCCTGGGCTCATCTCTTTCATTCCGACGGCGGTTTATCGCAGCTCACCTGAGCTCATCTCTTTCATTCCCACGGCTGTTTATCTTAGCTCGCCTGGGCTCATCTCTTTCATTTCGATGGAGGTTTCTCTCAGCTTGTCTAGCCTGTCTTCTTTCATTTTGATGAAGTCTAATAATTTCATTATCAATTAAATTATCAGACATAATCATGCATCAAAGAAGTGTGTAAAAATGATGCTTAATATAAAAAAAGTTGAAGTTTGGGTTTTCTTTTTTAAACTAATCTAAAATAAAGTGTAAGCAAATAATATAGAGCATAATATAATAATCTTTTATATTCTACCATATATAGCAATGTGTTAAGGTAACATACTTTTATTAAAAGGTTAAACTATAGTTATAAATAAATTGATATAATCTTTTAAACTATTAAGTATTGTTAAGTATAAGTATTGTTACATATTTAAGGTAGTTGTTATTAATTATTGACAAAATATTATTAGTATTTAATCAAAAAACAAAAGTAAAGTAATTTAAAAAATAAATTTTTTACATTTATGAACTCATAAATAAAGCAAATTAAAAATAATAATAAAAGATATTTACAAACACATAAATGATATTTACACACTTGCAAAATATAAACCCATATAACAACCTTAACACATAAACATAAATGACATATATAACACATAAATGTAAATAAATAATATAATAAAAATATATAAATCAAAAGATATATATAATTTAGAAACTTTACAAATACAATCTTATTTTTGTAATATTTGTTTAACGACATGCCTTGTATAATAAATGTTTAACGACTTGGAAAAACAAACGATCTGGTTTTTTATATAAAAGCAAACAGATTTTTTTTTAAGTTCTTGAAAAGTAAAGTATTTAATGTTGTTCTTTCTTGTTCTTTAACATGTAACTGTGTAAGATGCAAGAGTTTAGGAGATATATATATATATATATAACACTAACTTTATCAAGAGTTTGACCTCGTGAAAAGAGCATTGTCTTTTAGAGTCATCATCATCTTTTAATTTAAAAATTAAAATATGTTCATCTTATTACTAATTAAGTTGATGAAGCAAAGTTTTCGATCTTATTACTGATTAAGCAGATATTAACAGATTATTAAAATTGAAGAGTACCTCATCGCGTGGTCAAAAATATATTAAGAGAAATATCTAAAAGGCCAAGCATGCTTATAAAACTCCGTGTAAAAATGCACACGGATGGTGAGCAGCAGTGTTAAGTTAAGCATTAATATAAAGCAATTTCCTATTTAGAATTGATTGAATTATAACACCAAGATCATGTTCAAAATCAGTTACTGTCAAAATATGATGTTGATTTGTATCCGAATCATGCATTACATAAGTGGATTGAGGATTTTTTTTTTTGCCAATATGCATTATTATTGAATTTTGTCTGTACTGAAATTTTATAGCTTGAGGCCGACTCTTGACGTTCTTTATCTTAACTTATAAAATTAATAAAATCAAAAACACATCTATCTGTCAAATTTTTATAGAAATGAATTATTATAAAAATTTGACAGATAAATGTGTTTTTGATAGATTTTGGTTTATTATAAACATTTAAAACTGTTTTTTTTTTTAGTTGCTTGTCTGACCTTTTTTTTTTTACCTACTTGTTATATATACGCTTGTTTATATAATACTTAAATAAATGTTTTTGATTATAAATGATGTATAATACTTATTTTTGATTATAAAAAAGATTTTTGTGATTTCTAGAATCTGATTTGATAACATTGTCTTCATTAACAAAGTTTTTAATACTTGCATTTATGCATGAAAAATGGGAGATTTTTGAGAACCTGATCTATGAAGTTTTACACGAATTAGAAAAGCATAATAATAAAAGTGACTATATTCTTGAACGACAAATTTTACAGATTTTATCTGCTTTTTCAATAATGGTTCCATCTTATCAAGTTAGAACAGGCTTAAAGATAAAGAAAGAAAAATCCAGTAAGTAGTATAAAATAAATAAAACACATTTAATAAATTTTATTCAATAAAATACTTAAAAAATTTTTTTTTAAGAAATAAAATGAAAAATTAAAAAATTTAAGAAAAAATTTTTTAAATGAAAGAAAAATTTAAAAATGAAAGACTCAATACATTTGTTATGCTATTTTTTTATTCTTACAATGTATTAATTATTTTAGTTTATCATTATTGAACATATTTTTTATTTTTAAACTGCATTTGTTATGCACTAACATAATTTTAAAGCTGCAAATTTAAAAATTTTATGTTTTTTTTTTTTAAAACTGTTGTAGCATTAACAACTGTACTGAATTTTTATCAGGGGTTTAGAAAAAAGTATATGTCAAAAACAAAATATATGTTTCTGTGAAGATTCTATAATGCTTGTGGTGTAAAAGTCCTGGTATCTAATTAGGTAACACAAAAGTGTTTGCAGTAATAAAAAGGCTTTCTCGTTTGTAAAACAGAGCTTTTTTTTACTTTACTTACAGTAATAATTATTTATTAATTATTTACCTTAAACAAATGTTATTTAGTGCTCCAGATTATATATTTTATATCTTTAATTTAACTATATATATATATATATATATATATATATATATATATATATATATATATATATATATATATATATATATATATATATATATATATATATATATATACACCGTTATTTAATGTAGGATGGTTAAGTAGTTGAGCAATGGCTTATCCTCGGTGGGTAAATATGTGATATTTTATTTTGGAGTGCCTCTTCACATTTGAATTCATTTGTGGTTTTTTATTATTCAGTGCTTGCTGTGAACACTAAATTAAGCTTACTTTTAACATCAGTTAACATGGCGGCCTCAGCATCTTTAGTTGCATTCAATTTCATATTATTGATTTTATTATTTATCTTATTAGTGCAAGACCTAATCTTAATCTAACAGCCTAGATACAATTTATGAAGTTTTTTGTTCCCTTCATCTTGATGATTCTGTGAACTATAAGACTTTAAGCAATCACAATATTATTTATCTCTTTATTGCTCACTGCTTATTAGTCTTTTTATTGCAAAGACTTAAAGTAATCCCAATATTGTTAATCAGACTATTAGTCTCTTTATTGCAATGTATTTTGTTTTCTGATATAATTGCTATTGTTTAACTAAAACCGACTGTGTTTAAAGCTATTAAAATAGCCCTTAATAAAAACAATGATGTCTGTGATTGAAGCTGTATCAAAAAAGACTCATTCAAGCATATCTTTACTAATATGAGGGTCTTATAGTCCAGGAACAACAATGCCTTGTATGTTAGTATCAGTGAAATCATTCTTTGTAGCTAGCAATAATATTGCACTGTGTAGTTGCAAGTGGCTCTTTTTTTCTGCTGGCATTTTACCTTGTTAAATGTCTGTTCATTGCTTGAATAATGTCCATACATTACATATGATACATCCTGTCTGTTGTGGCGGCGATCCATTTTTGGTGCTTTGTGCTTGGATAAGCTGACTAAAAATCAATTAAATTGTGAGAAAGGGGTAGCAGGATAACCTGACCAACTCAAAAAAAAGTCTGACAAAGCCCGCTATTCTCAGGTCACGAAATCTTGTATTTTATGTCAAAAATTAAGCTCTTGTGACATCTGGAGAATCTTTAACAGTATCTATAATAAGGGCAAATCTGTTGTTCCACCTCTTTTGTATGGTTAAGATTTTTTCACTTATTCTAAAGACAAAGTTGAATTGTTTGCTAAGAACTTCTCATCAATATCATCTCTTGATTCTACTAATCACATTCTACCTAATATAGCCAAAAAACAGGTTGATCCATTGCACAACATTTGTATCACTTCAGCTTCTGCATCTAAATAGATTTCCTGCTTAGACTCTTCTATAGCTTGTGGTCCGGACAACATATCTGTTATAATCTTGCAGTAGTGTTCTCCATAGCTATTGTCTATACTTTCAAAACTATTTAACAAGTGCCTATCAGAGTTTTATTTTCCAACCTGCTGGAAAGCGGAAACTGTTATCTCTATTTTCAAAAACTCTGGAGAGCGATCTGACTCATCTAACTGCCGTCCCATTAGTCTTCTTCCTATTCTAAGCAAGGTTTTTGAGTCTTTAATTAACAAACACTTAACCTCTCATCTTGAATCTAATAACTTTCTGATCATCAATATGGATTTCGATCTTCTTGTTCTACAGCTGATTTGCTAACAGTAATAACCGATAGGTATTATCTTGCATAAGATAGATGTAGAGAGGTTAAGGCTATTGTTCTGCTTTTGATAAAGATTGGCATGCTGGTATTCTCCATAAGCTTTTATCTTATGGTGCATCAGGTAACATCTTCAAGATTATTGAATCCTTTCTTACCAATCGTAGTATCAAAGTTGTTCTCGATGGACAGCACTCTTTTTCATATCCTGTAACTTTAGGGTTCCTCAAGGTTCTATTCTTGGTCTTATACTCTTTTTAATTTACATTAATGATCTTCCAAATATCCTCACATCTAAGGTGGCATTGTTTGCTGATGATACTACCATTTATTCTTGTCATGATAAGAAGCCAACACTCTCTGGTTGTTAAGAGGGGGCATTTGAGCTTCAAAGAGATCTCACTTCTGCTACAGCATGAGGCTCTCAGTATTTGATAAACTTTAATTCAGATAAAACTTAATTTTTTTCAGCTAATCGTTATCATAACAATCTAGATCTTTCTATATTTATAAATGGTAATGTACTTGATGAGTCAGCCATCCTTCATCTTCTAGGATTAACTCTTACTTCCGATCTTTTTTGAAACCATATATCAAATCCATTGCAAATATAACATCTGCCAAGGAGATGCTAATTTTGTTTCTCTTTATCGTTCTTGCCACTTTCTTATTCAGGATTCTATTCTTTATTTCTAAAATTATGAAATACTGTTGCTATATCTGGAGCGGATCTTCGAATGATGCCCTTTCTCTTTTAGACAAGGTACAAAAATGCATTGTGAACATAATTAGACCTCTAATGGTTAAAGATTGACCTCTCTTGAGGTCAATCTTTAACCATTGTCACATTATTGTTATGTTGCTTCTCTTTCTTTTTTTATTAATACTACAATTAGCGCTGCTCTAAAGAGCTTGTATCTCTCATGCCATCTACTAAAATTAATTTTCGTGTTACTTGTCATTCAATTAAGTTTCATCTTTTTACGGTGACTGATAATTCTTATTCATCAAATTTTTTTTCTTGAACATCAGTTTTTTAATATTTGCTCCCTTCATCTTGTTTTCCTGATTCATATAATTTGCAATCTTTTAAGTTGTCTTTTAATCATTATCTTGCTTTATAAACTTCATCATTTCTCTTCCAGTAACTTCCAACTCTAATAGTGGTTGCTTGCAGCCTTCTTGGAAGTGTAGATGTTAAAAAAAAAATTGGTGGCTGTTGAATAGTGCAATAACAATTGGTTAACTGGGACCTTTGATGATAACCTCACATCCTTTAAGAAACTAACATAAATAAATGTTAATTGTTTTTCCTAATCATTTATTTTTAACAAACTTTAACAATCTTTAAGTTTCTGTAAATAAAAAAAATAATAAATACCAACAACAGTAACAAAATAACACATTTATATTCTATGTGTTTATAACACCTATAATATTGTTAATTGTTAAAAATAAATTATCCCAAGTAGCAAATATTACTGGCACAATATTGTTTATATACTTTACATACTGTAAACAAAATTGTGCTAATATTGTTTGCTACTCGGGGTGTCATATTTCTTCATAACTTGTATTATAATAATTGTATAATTCAAACTTGTATTAAAAAAAGAAAGAAAAAAAAAAGGATCTTAAACTTATTAATAAAACCTTTAAAAATTCATAAAGTAAAAATATTTTTGAAAAGTTGTTGTTAGAATAAGAAATCTATAAAAATTGCAGTTAAATAAGATATATATGAAAATTCATCTTCATCAAATCTTTTATTATGTCTTATATGAAATAAATGTAAACAAAAATGTTACAACCATTTTATAACGAATATGTTGTTATAAAAAAGAAACATAATACAAAGGTTTCACCATAAAACATAGAAACAATGTCAGCATTATTTTTCCAACTTTTAACACTTTTAGGTCAGCAGTTGACAATGCCAAATGCCAATTCTATTTCCGCATGACAAACGAAAAATATTCTTATACAAAATAAACAATCTTTTTTTGAAAACAGCATCAACTTAAAGTTTGTATCAGTTTTAACAGCTTTACAATTTGTAAATTTTTTTTTATTTTAAGCTTATGCTATAAGTGAAAAAAAGTCCACTACAAATTTGCTGCATTTAAATCAGCTATGGCAAGTGAAATTCTAATGCTCAGAAATATAATTTTTTGAAAGCAAATTAAGTTAGCAAATAAAGTATATATATTAAAAAGAAAGTTTTTATTTTTTAAATTTTGTTTGTTTATTTACAACCACCTTTTTAGATTCACCTCTGAAAGGCTCAGGAGGCCTCTAAGTTCAGGATATTTTTCATTTTAATTTTAATTGGCTGATTGAATTGAATTAACTTTTTTCTTTTTCCCATAAATAGCGAAAGGTTATTTTTATTTTTAAATCTTGACAATGGAGACTTTTTCAAGGGAAACATTATTTCTAATTATTACTTATTAATTATATACATTATTACTTTTTTATTATTTTTTTAAATTTATCTTTATAGTTTACTCAAGTTTTTTTCAATTTTGACCAAAAAAATTGTTATCTTGTTGTTTTAGTGCATGAAGCCAAAAAAGTCTCTGTTAAAGATTTGTTAAATGTTTCAAAATTGTTGAGTGATTTTGTGACAAATGAAAGTTCAGTAGGTTTTTTATTTAAATTTTCATTTAAAAGGCAAATAACTAAATATTAAATAACTAATTAATAACTAAAGGTAAATTATATATATATATATATATATATATATATATATATATATATATATATATATATATATATATATATATATATATATATATATATATATATATATATATATATCAGGGATGTGGAGTCCCAAAAAGACTTCGGCTTTATATCTCTATTTTTTCCAGGTCTGTAGTGTCTAAAAGCTCTAAACATGTTTGTTGACTTATGATCTGCTATAAGAAAAAAATTCATGTGATTTAATGACTTGGAACTTATCTTTTTTAAGCCCAGAGTGCTGGAGTCCCGGAGTCCTTGCCACCATTATACCTAAGGACTCCGGGTTCAAAGAATGATTGTTTCTCTTACCTCAAAGTCTCAATTTTTTTCCTATTAAATGTCCATAAACCTTTTTATATTTTTAGAGCTTTTTATATTTTTAGAGATACCAAAAACTATGAAGAAGTTTTTTTGTGACTTTCAAATCCGGAGTCCTTTTTGGGACTCCGCATCCCTGATATATAGGTTATGCATATATATATTTTATAGGTTAAGGTTATGTATCTATTTTGTAAAGTATTTACTGTAAATATCTATTCTGTAAAGTTTTAACTGTAAATCTATGCTAAATATTTATTCTGTAAAGTGTTTACTGTGAATCTATGCTAAAAATTGTCTTAAAAATACTGTGAAAATTATATATTTTAAAATTCTTTCTTTAACTTCTAACTTAATTAGTGGCAGCACTTGGAAATGTTATAAACTCAAACTTTTTTTTTTTCGAAACTATATATAAAACCAGTTCTTTTTCTGTATTCTTTTTTTTAGAATATGTTTATTTCAAAATACCACAGTATGCTGGTTGACATTGTTCTTTTTATATGGTCTGCTTTCAAGCCCCATTTTACATATGAAATATCTCAAGGTCATATACACACTTTACTTAAAGAAACAAGTTTTTGTATGGTATGTGTTGTTTTATTTCATTAAACATGGTAATATGATGATGATAGTAATGATGATGATGATGATGATGATGATGATAATGATGATGATGATGATTGTGATGATGATGATAATGATGATGTTAATGATGATGTTAATGATAGTGATGATGATAACAATGATGATGATAATGATCAGCATCACAACAATGGTGATGATCATTATCATCATTGTTATCATTGTCATCATCATTATCATCATCATCATTGTGTCATTTTATTAACAGATATTTGAAATACTAATCAAAATCCACCATGTTATGGTTGCAGTTGGTATTCAGAATGTTAACTTGACTTTTTTTATTGAAGCAACATTAACAGTATCAATATTTATTGAACAAGTAGGTTTTTATTTAACGAGTAAATTTATGCTTATAGAGAAGTATGTTATGCATTAAATTAATTAAGTTTACTGTTGCGCAGTGGCAAGATGCTCATTTTTTATATGTAATTTTCAGAGATCTTCAGAGATCTAATTTTTATGCTACTGATTTATATGTAATTTTCAGAGATCTCCAGAGATCTAACTTTTATGCTACTGATTTATATGTGATTTTCAGAGATCTCCAGAGATCTAACTTTTATGCTACTGATTAAAATGCTCAGCTTTTTTTGTGATTTAAATGATTTACGGAAAATAAATAGGTTGTTGTTGTTGTTGTTATTATTTTTTTGTGACATTCATACGCATATTAATATTAATTAAGTTTAATTTAATTAATAATTTGAAATCTATCTGCAATCCTGGAAGTACCGCGCTCAACTTGTTTCTCCACGTAGCAGCTTTGTTTATCGAGGTTTGTGTTTTCGAGGTATAGAGTTAAGAGAGGGTTGTAACCACAATAATAGCAGCCTCCTAAACTGTAGTGGCTTTCTCAACTTTGGGGAGGTGTATTAACATTAATAAAATATACATCAAGATTTAAATTTGTATTTTTGTGACATTTTTATTATAACTTCAATATGCATATCAAAATTTGTGTTTTTTTGTGACATCAATATGCATACCAAGATTTGTGTTTTTCTGTGACGCCAATATGCATATCAAGATTTAAGTTATAGGTTAAGGTTTCATCAAAATAAGAATTTTGATGAAAAAGTTCAGGGATAAGCATGTTGAGCGCTGTACCATCAGAGATGTGGTGGGGTTTAAACTATGTATTTCCAGCTTATGAAATGACTTAACTGCTGAATTTATCTAACTATTGCTTTAGACCTACTGCACCTACCTAAGTACATAATAGGTACCTACCTAAGTACATAATAGGTACCTACCTAAGTACATAATAGGTACCTACCTAAGTACATAATAGGTACCTACCTGAGTACATAATAGGTACCTACATTTACTGTACTTACAGCACTAAATTGGTAAATAATATGCACACTTAAGTAAAAAGTTGTTCATTATCAAAGCTGGCTTACAAGTAAATTATATTACAATCAACTAATAAGCTGCAAGTGACCTAAAAAAATTTCAATGTTAACTGAAGCTTGATGTTTAGCATAGCAAATCTAACTGCATTTAACCAATCATAGTGTGAAAAACTTAGTATTCTTAGATTTTTTTTTTCTAATCTTGACAATAATTTACAGTTTTGTGAAGTTATTTTTAAACTTAATTACAAGGTTTTTTTTCTCTATATCAGATGTTACTCTTAAAATGAGGCTTTTTGTCAAAAATTAATCGCATTATTTTTCTAACTATTTTGTTATAATCTCTTCTATTTATTTTTGTCTATATTATTTATGTTATATATTAATTTATATATTTCTATGTAGATATATAATAATGTTATAAACATTAATGTCTTAATACCTATTATTATAAAAATTATAATTATTGTTAATAATAAAAATAATATATATGTTAACTAAAAAGTTATTTTATAGTCTTATTCAACTTTTTTTTTAGTTTGTTGAAAAATCCCAGTTTGGTGAAATTATACCTTTTTCAATCTCACCTGAAATCATGAAACAAGCTGCTTCTATCTTGAATGTTAAAATGGATACTCTCTGCTTCCTTCATTTTATCAATAATTTACTTCTGTCAGCTTTGAAATTTATTCAGACTGCAAAGAATTTAATGAAGTTATTTGTTGAAATTAAAGATGTAAAGATTTTAATTCATTAAAATATATAAAATATGGTGAAGCTTTCAGTATATACATTAATTGAGGTTTTGACCAAATAGTTTTCAAGAATGAAAAACATCTAACAAGAAATGTTTACTTTTTTTTCATTCTTCTAAAATTTTTTTGAAAAAAATTATAGAAGAATGATTATTATAAAAGATTATCATAGCTTCTAAAAGTTTACAAGCTATGATAATACTTTATTAAAATAATTTTGTGTTTCAAAGATTTTAATAAGTGTGTTTTTTAAAAGTTTAAATAAAATGAAAAAATAATTTTTTTGATTCATAAATTATTTACTTTTCTCAAAAGTAAAAAAAAAAATCTATTTTTATATCTTCATTTACTAGTTATTATTCTATTTATTTATTAGTTATTGTTATTATTGTTAACATTAATTGTTTTATGTTCCTTGTTAATACTATATTTCATTATCGTTTATATTAGTGTTATTAATATTATTATAAATATTATTAAAAATAAAGAATATATTAGAAATGTTGTTTTTATGTATATTTTTATTAATTTACAATAATTCATTTTACTATTTTATTTTAAATACTACTAATTTAACTAAATAATATTATTTTGGTTAATGTTTTAAGGTAAAATTTGATGAAGACAAAAAATCAAATGCAAGAAACGTTGCTGCATTGCATCTAGAATTAATGTTTAAACAACAATGTATAGCAACATTAATTGATTACTATACACCGAAAGAAGGTTTTAATTTGATTTAAATGGTTTTTTCAATTAACTAAACAATTCAATAATTGTGTATAGTTTTATTTTTATTATATCATATTTGTTATCATCATCATCATCATCATCATCATCATCATCATCATCATCATCATCATCATCATCATCATCATCATCGTTGTCATCATCATCATCATCATCGTCATCATCATCATCATCATCATCATCATCATCATCATCATCATTAGACGAATTTCTGTATAGAAACTCTGCATTTTTACAGAATATTCCTATTTCGGTTGACGATAATGTTATAGTTTTTGCATCAACAGTTCAGAAAATTTTTAGATTATATTCTTAGCATCAAAATAAATTAAAAATAAAAGAATTTTTTAAAGATAGCGCACAAAATGTGATGCTTGTGTCATGTTTCTATATTTGTCATTATCAAGTTTAAATTTGCTATGAATCAGTTTAATTTTTATTTAAATATGTGGCTAGCACTAATCTTAAAAAACTAGGAAAGTAATTTACTTGTTTCACTAACACAAATATCCGCTGTTTTTGAAAAAAAGGGAAAAATATTTGGCACTTTTTCTACTGTGTATTTGTAACTATTTTGATTAGAAAATGTTTTGTTGCGAAAATTACTCCGTTTTAAGTTAATGCAAAAGTTTACACACTTTTGCAAAATACATTACAAATGTTTTATTTTCTGAAACATATTTTTTTCCGAAATATTTTTGTGTCTTCTTTAATGCTATGATCTTATTTTGTCAATTCATCTCATGAGGGTTTTGTTATAGCAATTTCTAATAAAGGTATGGTATAGAAACACTGCAAAAAAGCCGAGTTTCTGAAAAAATTTCCAAAAAAGAAACAAATAACAAGAAATTATCTGCTTTATTGACAAATCCAATTGATTAAACATTTTTTATATAAAATCAAATGTTACTTTGAACAAAATTATAAAAAAACAATTATTTTACACATGCCAAGTTACATAGGACTGAGTCATATATCCTCTTTATTGTCACTGGTATAGATTCTTTACAAAAATGTTGTGTTTCTATACCAAAACTTTTTACATGAAGTATTTCCAGATTAAAATTCGAATAAAAAGGTTTTGTATAATCTAGTGAATGAATATTTTTTCTTTTCTAGATTTTAATATGTTCTTCGTAAATAAAATAAACAAACTTTATTGTTTCATTGTAATTATTGCAATGCAGCGTTGATTAAATTTAGATATCGTCATCATCTGTATAGAAATCATACTCGCAAGTAATGTTTCTATACAAAAAAAATCTTGTTTACTCGGTTTATCAGCATATTCATCGTATATTCATCGTATTAAAGTAATTTTACTCTTTATGTTGATTTTTTTTTTTTATCACAAAATAAAAAGATAATTTTTATTAATTTATAAAATTTTACACCTATTTCACTGTAAATTGATTCAACATCATTATAAATCAGTTTACAATTCTCATCACTTGTATAGAATTCCTACCTTCTAACACATACGCATGCACACAGATTTTTCCTGAGTTTTAAAATCAACTGGTTTTGTTTATACATAAACAATTTCAACTACGTCCGGAAATTTATTTTATTTAATAATGCATTATTTTATGTCTAATAACCAGGGCTGCGGAGTCTCAAAAGGACTCTGGCTTTATATCTCTACTTTTTCCAAGCCTGCAGTGTCCAAAAGTTCTAAACATGTTTGTTGACTTATGATCTGCTATAAGAAAAAAATTCATGCAATTTAATGACTTGAAACTTACTGTTTTTAAGCCCGGAGTCCTGGAGTCCTGGAGTCCTTGCTACCATTATACCTAAGGACTCCGGGTTCAAAAAATATTGTTCCTCTAACCTAAAAGTCTTAATTTTTATTCTATTAGTAGTCCATAAACTTATTTATATTTTTAGAGCTCCTGGATACCAAAAACTAGGATAAAGTAATCTTTTTGTGACTTTCAAATCCGAAGTCCTTTTTTGGACTCCACATCCCTGCTAATAAAATCTTTCTAAAGATGTTATTAGACATCAATAACATTTCTGATGTTGTCGGACAGATGTTAATTCAGTAAAGAAAAAATGCGGATGATCTTGAGTAAAAATGTGTGTATGTTATTTCACTACTCCAGGGATGTTGTTGGACAGATGTAGTAAAATTTTCTCCATACAAACATATACAGAAAGATTTTAAAATTTTATATTAAAAGACACATATCATTAGTAACTACTAAAAATAATAAAATTCATTTGAATAAATTTACGAAAGGGTTTTGTTTTTGTTCCGCAAAATTCAAAATGTGTTTTTTTGCTTTGAACTTAAACGAGTTATACCATATATGCCTTAATTTTTTGAAATGAGTTCCATTACTTAGGTTCACAACATGCTAATGAATATTTTGTATATTTATTTAATATTGAAAATTAGGTGTTGATAAAAATATATTTTGTCTACATCCTTCACTTTCATATTTCTTATTAAGGGTTTAGTGTGCTTCCCTCTTTTTTTCCCGAAAATAATTCTGGATGCATGTTTTTGCAAACTAAGTATTTTTCTTCAAGTTTTATTGGTTGTGTACTACCCCATGTTATATTAGCGTAGTTAATAAAACAAAGAATTAAAGAAAAGTAATAACTTTAAACAAACTTTATGTACATATGGACAAACTCAGTACATCAGACCAATGGTTTTACTAACTGTTGGTTGTAAATATTTAATATGGGGAAGTCAAGATAAATTATTGTCAACAAGTATTCATAAAAACTTTATATAGTCTTGCTTTTTTAAAATAGGGCTGGTAATTTAAGGGAAAGATTTTCTTATTAAAAATCTCATTTAGGAACCACCAGAACCAACGAGTCCAATTTCTCGGCATGCTATCTCAGCATCAAAGGCAGGGCGACATATATTTTTGCCCAAGGATTTGTCTTGGTTGATGACGATAACTTGTGACATTGTTTGGTATAAAATGATGATATTGTGTGTTAAAACATGTGAGAAAAGCATTATTCAATATTGAATAAAAACAAATTTAAACCTAAGAAGTTATTCTTAAACAAATTATTAATTAAAGATGTAGGCCATATGAAGACAGCGTTAATATGCAAAAATTAGATTATTTTGCTAAATAAATGCTAATAACAGAGCCTTTAAAAGTGTTTTTGGCAAATTTTAATTTTAGTAATAACTTATAAACGTAATATCTTTATATTGGCTAATGATTTGCACCTGAAATTTTTAGGGTATCCTCATATACTTCAGAATTTGGTTAACAGATTAGATTTTAAATATATCTGTTAAATTTTTTAAATAAGAAATTAGTTTACATGCCAAATCACCTAGTAGTTCAAGCAAATTTTCTTTAATTTTTGATTAAGTTTAAAATACGTCCTTAAACTAAAAAACCATTTATGTCACTAAGTCTGACAGAAAAAATATTTTAGCAAATTCAATTTTAAATTTTTTTCACCATTATAGATGTAAAAAACTATTTCGATTATTATTTAAAATAGTGTTTTAACAGAAATGTACAAGTTTTTTATTTTGTTTATATTTTTTATTAAAATATGCATTTTTGTAGAGTACAGTATTAAATCAACTGATGATTTTCTAAACTTTATCTAAACTAAAAAAACTAAATCTCCTTAAAAAATCATCAATTTATTTAAATTAAAAAAGAAAACTAAAATAAAATAAAAACAGTAACAATTTATTTAGAATAAGTTTAAAAATTTCAAACTTTAAAATAAAAGTAAAATTTTCAAAAAAAGACATAGAAGATTGTATATAATTCTATATAAAATATTTTTTACATTTACAATTTTAAATTTACATAAGTAATATATTTACATATCTATATATATATCTATTTTCTATAAATAAAAAAGTTTGATAAAACTTTTTCTTGACATTAACAAATAAAATTGTTTCTGGGACAAATCGATAGAGTTGTTGTTATTTTTTATGTTAAGATTATTTTTTATGAAAGATTAATTCACCACTGTGTCTTAAAACAGCCAGAAATTAGGCAACTTTTAAGCTACTACACTACCATACTTTGTATTAAATATACTCAAGCTATTTATTGGTAATAAAGAGTTATAATACAACTCTTAGATGTTGAAAAAAAGAAATATTAAAATAGAAAGCTAATAAAAAAAAACCTCATTAAAAAGTTTATTCAAAAAAGATCATCATCATCATCATCATTATCATCACCATCATTATCATCATTATCATCATTATCATCATCATCACCATCATCACCATTATCATCATGTCCATCATCATCATCATTATCATCATCATCATCATCATCATTATCATAATCATGGTCATGATCATGATCATCATTATCATCATTAACATTACCGTTATCATTATTATCATCACCATGATGATGATGATCATCATCATTATCATCATTATTAATAGCATCATAATCATCGCTTTAGCATCCTTGTTTCTGCGCTTGCATAGGTTGAATATGACTTTTAATCCCAGGAAAAAAGTTCCTACACTTATTTATACAATTTCAAAATACGCTTCGAAAAGTGTCAAGTAAAATAAAGGAATTTTTGTTCTAGTCATTTCTGGTCATTTCTTTAATATACATTATCTTGAGCATCTTTTTTCTTTTATCTTTTATTATGTAACACTCTCTTAATGCTTTCTTACTTCTATCTCTATCTTTTTGTTCTGAAACTGCTACTCTCTTTATGCTGATTAAGCACCAATTAAGCACTGGCATTTTGCAGAAAAGCGGTTTTTTTTTAATTATATGATAAAAAGCAATATAAAATTGCAACAAATTGTACTCAATTTTTTAAATAAAATCATTTTACAATAAATTGTACAGCGATTTGCTGGGTTATTTATTTTAAAAATATCGTAATTCTAATTATTTCAGCATTATCAGAAATAATTTGAATTGTGGTAATGCAATCATTTGCATCTTTTCACTCTACATCCCAAACCACGCTTCAATCTTCCCTGACAGACCCTATTAGATTGCTATCAACCATTGTAAACATAGTTGTACCCAGTCTATCTGCTATGCTTGAGCCTCTTTCCCATTGTCATCCTCATTCCCATTGTCATGCATTTCTTTCTCTTTTCTACAAATACTATTATGACCGCTGCTCAAAGGAGCTTTCATCTCTAGTTCCATCCACCTAACTCTTTCTTACTCAACTTGTCATTCATCAGTCTCATTCATTTACTGTATCTGTCTTTGCATGCTCCAAAAACTTTTGTTCATCTAGCTTTTTTCCATGCACTTCAACCCTTTGGAACTCTCTCCTATCTTTATGTTTTCCTGACTCATACAACCTTCAAATGTCAACCGTTTCCTTGCTCTATAACTCTATTCTTTTTTTTTAGTAACTCCTATCTTAATAGTGGTTGCTTGCAGCCACTACCTTTTGGTAATCAAAAAAGATAAGGCAAGGAATGCTGCTACATTGACTAAGGGTTTGTGTTGGGGGCAGCAATAATCTTTGTTTAACCTTTATTGATGCATTACCTCTTACAATTGAGAATATTGAAGCATTATATGAAGGCAAGTATTCCTAGAATAATCGGAAGAAACAACATTGGCAAAATAATCAATTAAGCACATTATGAATTTATGAAATATAATGAAATATTATGAAACAATTTATGAAATATAACAATAATCAAAGACATTTGGATAACTCAGGAATACTGAAATTTATGTCAATATTTGATGCTACCATGAAGTTTTTATAGAAGTCTGTTCTCCAAATTATGGAAGCTCAGAAATAAAAAAAACAACAAAGAATAAAGAATCCATCAATGCAGATATTGCATTGATGGATTCCTTTTTTGAATACTGGTGTCAAATTTGCTTCTTTCCATTTTGTTGGAATATAGCCTACTTCGCATAAACGTTTAAAAATTTTGGATAATATTTTTGAATAGCTATCTGACCGGTTTTTTAATAAATATGGGTAGATCCCATCAGAACCAGCTTGTTTGTATTTATTTTGCAGTTCAAGTTCTATTTTAATAATTGAGCTTTCAAAAAAATTAGTTAATTAATTAGGACAGATTTTGTTCTTAAATTCAGGATATTTTTTATTATTTTGGACCAAATTGAATACATTATAAAAGTGAATGTTGAATTGATTCCAGATTTTTTGTCTATCAGTTAAGGTAACGTCATCCTTTGTTATGAGGGATCATATTTTTTGATGATTTGTTTTTTTACTATTTGCATATGCATATATTAATTTTGGATTTAATTGAGCTTTTTTTAATAATTTGGATTTGTAATTGATTTTTTCGGCTTTAATAAGCTTGTTCAATGATTTACAATGTGACGAATACGTTTTTTTGAATAGAATCTTGTTTATTTGAGGCTAAAAAAGAGCACCAAAAGCTTTTTTTTAATCGTATTTAAATTTTTAAATTATTAGTTAGCCAGTGTGGTCTGAACTTGGTACTTAAGATTACATTTTTTCAAATAGGAATGAATTTATCCATAGCTAAATTAGTTTCAGATAATAACATACATATCATTAACATCGAAGTTATTGGAAAGTTTATCAAATTTTAGGTCTAAATAGTTAGAGATACTTTTAAAGTTACCTCTTTTCATATGGAACAGATTTAAAACATTTTGACATACTGCGATAGATTTTATTTCAGTTATTAAACTAAAGCTTACTGAAGAATGTAAGTGATTACAGCTAGTAGACTCAAGTAGTCCAATTTTTGTATTGTAGATTCTAGATAACTTGTAAAAATTCTAAGTAGTTTTTTAAAAACGTTGGTGCCATTATTTTTTGTGTAAGATAGTTAGAGCCAATCAGATTATTGGTTATAAATTTATATATATATATATGTATATATAATTTTTGTATTGTAGATTCAGGATAACTTGTAAAAATTCTAAGTAGTTTTTTAAAAACGTTGGTGCCATTATTTTTTGTGTAAGATAGTTAGAGCCAATCAGATTATTGGTTATAAATATATATATATATATATATATATATATAATATATATATATATATATATATATATATATATATATATATATATATATATATATATAAATTTATAACCAATAATCTGATTGGCTCTAACTATCTTACACAAAAAATAATGGCACCAACGTTTTTAAAAAACTACTTAGAATTTTTACAAGTTATCCTGAATAATATATATATATATATATATATATATATATATATATATATATATATATATATATATATATATATATATATATATATATATATATATATATATATATATATATATATATATATATATATATATATATATACATAGATACATATATTTACTTTTATTTACCATAGAGATCAAATCTGCTTCATCAATAAAAACATTAACAAAAAATCAAGCAAAACTAAAAACAAAGGTAACTTTAATAAAATATTTATGTTAAGCTGTGTTGATAAATATATGCCTACCCCCACCTCACAGTGGGCCAAACAACTGTTTTCACGGGCATTGGTTCATAAATTTGAATGGAAAGTGCTATGGGGTTGATTAAAAACATTTTTGGAAAGATTTTTACGTTTAAATTTTGGAAAAGCTAAAAAATAAGTTTGCTGCAGGATATTTAGATCATAATTTAAAAGAACAAAATATTGAAAATTTCACAAAATATCCTTTTTTTTAAGTTAAAACAAAAATACATATGTTTATAAGTATGTATGTATAGTTTGTAACACAAAGACATCAATGGCAATATATAGGTAACATCAATGGCAATAATAAAAATTATCAAAAGAAGTACTAAAATACGTAATTTATTCATATATTAACATTTTGAAATGTGTGTCATCTAAAGATAAAATGTTATTAAAGACATTATGACAGTGTTTATTAGTCCACAATCATACCAAAATTTGCAGAATGGTTTTGAGTTGTATCTCTTGTCAATAAAAAATTTGATTAGATGATATCCACATTCAAAATTAGCTCGCAAGAATGGCCAATCACTTTGTGAAGTGATGGAGTTATACTGATCCATGGTCCAGGTAAATTTATTTTTAACAGGTGGAAACTCATTAAATAGGAACAATTTTGTTCGTTAAATAAAAGTATGTACAATAGCTTTTATGATCAAAGAATTACTGAGAGCACCAATTCGAACTTTTGAAATGTTGCATGATATTAAACAGGCAATTGTGCAATAATTAAATCCCTGTTTGATTTTTTGTGGAATAGTTCTCTAGCTATGTAACTTGTTGTTATTGTTTCCAATTGTATTGTTGCAATTTATATTGTATCTAGGTAGTCCCATTTTATAACTTTTTTTTTAATATCAATGTTTGTAATGAAGTCTCTGCTAGCTTCAGAAATCTATTTGAAGCACTGAAAGGGGACTCAGATCAATCAAAAACACCAGCTTTCACATGTAAACAGTTTTCATGCAATGGTCAAATGTTTCTAGTAAAGCATGAAGAACCTATAAAAATAATTTTTAAATGTAATAATTTTCAATATCAAGTATGTTCACATATTAAAAATATAGAATAATATGAACACTATTACAAGATACCAATTTACTTGTATTGGTTTTACATCACAGGTTGGAATTGGTTTGAAGGTTTGTCTGGCCCTTGTGATATAATCAGGTTTTTTTTAAGTAAAGAAACATCTTCTTGTTCAAGTTGGTTAAACATTTCATTCATAGTTATAGTGTCTCGATTAATTACAAAGTCATTTTCAATATTCAACACTGATCTTTTAAGCATGCGCACATGATCATAATATGTACCTCCAACTCCTGAAAAAAGGTTTGCTGATACCCATCATATATAACTGCACTATCACCTTTACATTGAATTGTTTTCCTTCTTTATACATAAGGAAACCTTTATTTTTTAACTCTTTTGTGTCAGAATTAAAAACAGACAATGATTCTTTTCCCATTTGAATTCAAATAGGAACAGAATCTCTGATTCTTTTCCCATTTGAAGACATTTGAAGTGCTTTGTGACTCAGTGGGACATTTTGTGACTTTTGCAACCATATTAACAAACCTACTTCTGTTTCAAGTGAAAATGGACAAAACATTGCCAGTGTGATATTGCTAGTGTTAACATTATCTTTTTAATTAGATATTGCATGTCTTTCACAGCCATCAAGTCCAAACTTTATTTTCATTAGTATATTTTCAATGTTTACATTCAAAAAAAATTTCTCCAATATCATTTTCATCATCAGTTCAATAGCCTGAAATATGCTGAAGTAAACACAAGAATAAAGTTCAAGATTTTTAATAAAAAGTGTTACTTCAGATTGTTTTCTTCTAAGATGTTTCTAACTAGGCAATATATTAAAACCAGCAGTTGGAAAAGTTTTTTTTTTTTTGGTTTGTATATAAATGCCTTGGAATCTTATAGAAAGCTTTATTCTTTAACATACTCTTCATGCAAGCTTTCCTTAACAGCCTTGAATTGTATCCCAGCATAACCCATTTTATTAAGTTTGTTTTTTTTCAGATGCAGATCTTTGCTAGCTATTCTGAACTATTGTTTTTTATGCAAATGTCAGCTCATCAACTCATCAGAGCCAAGTGCTTTAGCAATTACCAGTATACAACCTGTTTTGCAGAAATATTTTTTGCAAAAATTTGCATAAATAGTTTTTGATTGTTGTTTTTTGTCAGCAATAAAAATTTTAAATATGTCAAATTCAGTGAGCTTAATTGTTATTAAACTAAAGATTTTTGATTTTATCTAATAACTTTTTAAACAAAATGATTTAACTTAAAATAATATAATTCAAAATATAAACAAGTTGTCGTGATAAATAAAAATATTATATTATTACTATATGCACCACAAAGCCCTCAGTTTTGATTTTTAACTCTTGCAATTCGTTTATTTTAAAACAGATTTCAATCCTGCAATATTTTTTTTCATAATGGTTGTACTAACTAGATTAAATTTGGTCAAAAAATAGTTCAATATAAAAGAGGGCTAGGGAAGTGGAGGTATGGTCAAAAATTTGTCTTAATTCTTTTTTTAATTTCTAGACATACACTTTTATTGAACACATCTTCCCCTTATAAAAATATGTACAAAATAATGTAAAACTATTTGCAATAATATGTTTTTTAAATTTTTGTAAAATATATTTTTAATGTATTGTATAACATGTAAAAATAATTTTGTGTAATAATCTGGTATAACATGTAAAAATAATTTTGTGTAATAATCTATGAAGTTAACATTCAGATTTCCATAAACTGCAGTCTAAGATTGTTTCTAAATACAATCATCACATTACAACTGCTTATATAGTGACATATTTTCTTAAATAATGCCAAAAATGATTTTTATGTATCATTTATACCTAATACCTATCTTTTGCATTCTTTCGCATCAAATATACTTTATTCAAACTAGTATATTTCTTGAACAAATCATGCTTTTGAATTCTTTTTTTTTTTTTTTGAACTGGAAATTTAAGTGGCTTTCAATAAGCGAAGTTAAATTAAATTTATTTTGATAACATTGATTTTTGAGCAATGTCTGCTGTTTAGCATACTGTGCACATGTTTCAATTTTATATTGAATTGTTATTGGTGTACAGGGCTAGTGTCAAATACATATTTGTGTTTGAATTTGTATTTAGTAATAAGCTAAATTGGCATGTTTGTATTTTTATTGTATTTTACTAAAATATTTTTTAAATATTTATATTTGTATGTTAATAAACTAGATTAGCCAGTGTTTTTTTGGGAAAAATCTTGTTATATAGTGACATAAAAAAACTTGTTTTTTTTTTTTTTTTTTTTTTTTTTTTTTTTTTTTTTTACAACTTCAATATACACTTCATTACGTTACAATTCTATCATATAATTTAATGCAAAGAGTAAAATATATAACATAACATAAGAATACGTAATTTAACAATTATAATAAAATATAACGTTAGATTAATAAACACTGTTTTTTTTTTTTAAATAAAAACTATTGTTTCTTCAAATATAAACATGTTGTTATAAAGGAGGCTCGCAGAAGACTATGAAGTCTTATCATCAAGTACCTTGTCAAATGGTTAAATAAATTTAATTAATTTTTATATATAGTTAAAAGTGGTTAAACAATACACAGTCAGTGATACACATAAACATTTTAGTATAAATCTTGTTGTTAAGTTTAATACATGTCAATAAAATTTTTGATATTAAGTATGAGGTGTTTTAATTTTTTTTTCAAGGTGGCAGAATTATTTAATGTTTTAAGTTCTATATTTTTGGATATTATTTTGTTATATAGGTACGGACCCCGGTAGGAAATAGAGAATCGTGAGAACTTTGTTGTTTTTTTTGGTAATGTGAAGTTCCCTGTTGCTCATGTGGTATATCTATTAGAGTTAATTTGAAAAAAGTTATCTAAAAAATGCGATGGGACTAGTCCAAGATTGTATTTAAGCATGAAAAGAATATTTTGATAGATGTTGATTTGGTAAACATTCAGTGCATTTAGGGTTTTTAGTAAAGGTTCAGCATGGGTGAGTTTATATTTATTATAAACTAATCTTGATGCATGTTTTTGACTTAAATAAAGAGTATTTAACTTGGATTTGTGTGTACTTGCCCATGCAATATTAGCGTACGTAAGATAACTTTGGATGTAAGAAAAATAAAGAGATTTAAGATTATCTTGGGACAACATAGGTTTAACTTTGTAAAGTATCCCAATATTTTTTGAAATTTTGGTGTTTATTGTACTAATATGGGCTCTCCAAGTTATATTTTCGTCAATAAGTATCCCAAGAAATTTTGTTGTTTCTGTTCTTTTAATGTTTACCTTATCTATTTTTAGTGGGGGAAGTATAGTTGGTATATTATTTTTTTGTTTTTTGGAATGAAACAATATATATTTTGTTTTTTCTGTATTTAGTGATAACTTATTTAATTTCAACCAGATGTTTAATTTTTCAAGCTCTTTGTTCATACATTCATAAAGGTTTTTGATTGAGTTCGAGGAATAAAATAAATTTGTGTCGTCGGCAAACATTATAACATCAAGTTTTTTCGAGGTTTTTGTAAGGTCGTTAATATATAGAAGAAACAGAAGGGGTCCAAGAATGGAACCTTGGGGGACACCGCACTCTATTCTTAGTAGTTTTGAGTGTTTATAATTGTCTGAAATAACACATTGTTGCCTATTGCTTAGGTAGTTTTTGAACCAGTCAAGAGTGATGTTTTTTACTCCATAGCTTTCCATTTTTTTAAGTAAGATATTATGATTTACTGTGTCAAAGGCTTTTGACAGGTCTATAAAGATCCCCAGAACATATTGTTTTTTATCAAAAGAATCACTTATACTATTAATTAGATCTAGGATTGCGTGTTCAGTCGAATATTGTTTTTGGAAGCCAAATTGTTTTTTATTTAGGATTTTATTTTGGATTAAATACTCGTACAATCTGTTGTAGATTACTCGTTCGAGAAGCTTAGAGAAGGTAGGGAGTACCGAGATAGGTCTATAGTTATTAATTAAGTATGATTCACCTGTTTTAAATATTGGTACTACTTTAGCTACTTTTAACTTGTCTGGTACAACTCCTGTTTTAATCGAAGACTTGAAGATTTCAAATATAGGTTTATTTATCACTGTAAAGACATTTGCCACTATCCTACTACAGATATCGTCTATTCCTGGAGTTTTATTTAATTTTAAGGAGTTTAGTGCAACGTTAAGCTCTTGATAGCTTAGTTCTTTGTATTTTAGTTCGCTCTGGGGATCATTTAGATATGATTCAAACGAGTTATTAGGATATTCAATTTTTGAGGCAAGATTAGGGCCAATGTTAATAAAAAATTCATTGAATTTTTCAGCAATTTTATTTTTGTCACTGTACTCTATATTGTCTATGATAATTCGAGCAGGCAAATTATTTGATTTAGTTTTTTTGTTCCCAATTATTTCTTTTATAATGTTCCATGTTTTTTTAATGTCACCAGTTGCATTTTTTATTTGCTTCGAGTAGTAGTTTTTTTTTGAATTTTTTTTAATTTTTTCAAATAAATTTTTGTATTGCTTGTAGGTATTTAGGTTTTTTTCATTTCTATTTTTTAAATATTTGATGTAAAGTTTTTGCTTTTTTTTTGAAGATTTTTTTATACCTCTAGTAATCCATGGACATTGTAAGTATTTTACTTTTAATTGTTGTTCTATAATTGGGAAGTGATTATTATAATGCTTTAAGAATATTTCTAAAAACTCATTATAAGCAGAGTTGGTGTGCCCAAGGTTGCATTTTTGGTAAATCTTATCCCATCTCACTGCCGATAGTGAGTCTTTAAACTGTTGAATAGTAAATTTATTAATTTTTCGTTTATAGACTTTGGTTTTTGAGTTGTTTGTTTTTGTATCTTGAAACAAAGAAAAGTATATCGGAAAGTGATCGGATATATCCGTTTTGATTACACCTGCTTTTAATGAAGAATCATAAAATGAATTAGTCAATATGTTATCTATTGCAGTGATTGAAGTTGATGTTACCCGGGTGGGTTTGTTTATTATAGGGAAGATGTAGTGTTGAAACATATCATCAAAAAAAATTTTGGTAACAGCATCTTCATTGTACTGTAAACAGTTTATGTTAATGTCTCCAATACAGAATAATATTTTGTGCTCTTTATTGTTTTTTAGAAATATTTGTTTTAGATGATTAGAAAATTTTTTTATATCACCTTCAGGTGGTCTGTAACAGATGGGCACCAGTATATTTTTTAACTTTTGGTTTATTATTTCAATTGTAAAGACCTCACCATCGGCATCAGAAACAGAAAGATCGTCTCTAACTTTAGTTGTCAGATCATTATGAATATATGTCATAATTCCACCACCTCGTTTTTGAACTTTTCGCTCGTAAGATATTAGTTTGTAGTTCGGAATTAATAAGTTTGAATTTATTCTGGATGATTCGTCAGAACACCAGGTTTCTGTTAAGCAAATCATACTGAACAAAAAATTACATTCTACAAGAAAATGTTTTAGCTTGTCAATATTGTTAATTATACTTCTTATGTTTATGTGTATAACCGTAAAGTTATTATTTAATGATTTTAATTCATTTTTAAAAGTTTTTAAATCAAAAAACCGCGAGTTAAAATTATTTTCATTAAAAAAATGCAAATCTGGGTCGTAAAAGTTATCAAGTAAAGCGTTATTGGCTGATTTGAAAACATTAAAGTGTTGCGTTTCGAAATCTTTTGTTTGTTTAGCCATAAGTAAAAAGAATTAACTTTGCTTCAATCGCTTTAACTTACGCAAAACTTATTTTCTTATTTTCTAAATTCGCGACAATAAATTTTATTAAATTTAATCGTTGCGTATTTACCTTGATTGCGAAGATTTTTAACTTCTTCCCAAAGTCTCTTTCGCTCTTCCATTGTCTCTTTAGCAAAATCTTCATTTATATATATTCCACTTCCTTTTAGATTTTTAAGTGAACTTAAGATTTTATTTTTATCTTGGTAGTTCAATAGTTTCACGACGATAGTTCTTGGTGTTTTGTCTTCTTTATAAGACCCAATTCGATGTGCTCGTTCCACAATAACTTCGCTTGAAATTTTAAGATTATTTGTAAAAATATTTTTCACAGATTTCTCACAGTCACTCCAACTTTATCCTGGCATATCTTTCAGACCATCGATTCTTATGTTGTTACGACGAGAACGGTTTTCTAAGTCAGTATTTTTTTTATTTAAATTTTTAATTTCAAGATCATATCTCTTTCTTATTTGTGTTAATTCTTCCTTTATTTTTTCTTCTTGAAAGTTGAGACTTTCTTTCACATCGTTTACGTCCTTTTCAAAATTTCGCATATTTACTTTGTTGATATTTAATTCATTTTCAATTTTGTCGAGTCTATCAGTAATTATTTTTATATTTCCACTTACTATTTGTGTGAAGTTTTTTTCTTGGTCTTTTAACAGTCTTTCTGTTTCTTTGAGCAAACTTCTTTTTTGTTCTTCAAACTTGTTAGTAATAATTTTTTCGATATTTTTGATCGTTATTTCCATTTTTAAAATTAATATTCTTGAAAAGCAGTCAAAAACACGTGCGTTCGCGGCAAAAACTTTTTGAGTATGAGTTTTAATAAAGTTTTTTTTGTTGTTAATTTAATATGAAAAGAGTAGAACATTAATCATGTGAATTTGCAAGCTGTTTAAGAAGCTAAAGCGAAAAAGAAAATGATCACCAATGAAGAACTGTGAAATGTGGAACTCAAAGAATAAATTGGTTTTTATTCTGAAATTTAGAGTAAAGTATACAAAGCATAATTGTAATTTTGCAAGACTAACAAAACAAGAAGTACCAAGAAGTAACAAAAAGTAAGGTTAGAGGGTGAGCTGTTCTGGTTAGAGGGGGAGTTGTTCTAGAATAAATACTGAACCTGGTTAAGCTTTAAAAGCTAGAAAAAAAATTTATTAAGAACAAAAAGTTTAGTTTCTACTTTAGAAGTAATTGTTGTGTTTATTTTAAAAAATCTGTTATTTAAAAAGCAAGTTAAATAAAAATAAATATAGTAAAAATATAGGTAAGGCAGTTGAGGCTCTTTAACCATGGTGAAGGCAAATCAAATAGGAGAAAGAAAATTCTAAAAAAGATCCCCTCTTAATTGTAGTTCAAGGTAGGAGGAACTCTTAAACCTTCTATGGTAATCTTTCTAGTAATAGTAAAAATACTCAGTCCTGTTATGCAACAGTTTAAGGTTGGAAGGGCATTAATTTGTACAAGTTTGCTTCACATTTTCCATAGCATCATTTTAATTAAAAGGCGATACTAGGGAAAATTGTCTATTAGATGATACTAAGGAATACTAAGAAAAAGTGACACAAGTGTGGAACTATGGACAAATAATTTCACAAAAAAAAAATGAGTTTAATAAAAAAAAAATGAAAATATTTTATCTAAAAATTATGTTATTTTAGCAAAAACCCGTTCAACTTAAGAGTTATCAGAAGCTGCTGTTGTATAAAATCGAATTTAAGAATGAGTATTTAAATGTTTTCTAAAAATCAAGCCAACTATGATGTACAGAGATCAAGTATTGCCATTTAAAATTCATTGTGATTCACAATATCAGATTATTCAAAACTCATCTCTGATGCAAAGTGCATATATATATATATATATATATATATATATATATATATATATATATATATATATATATATATATATATATATATATATATATATATATATATATATATATATATATATATATATATATATATGTATATATATATTTCAATTATTTATTGGTAAATGTTACTTGTGAAACTCATAAAATTTATAATAAAAGTTCTGCAAAACATGTTTTCCAGTTAATGATTAGAGTTACTTTCTAAATTATGAAAAAATTATTAATAATGAAATAGTTTTTAAAATCAACTTTGGCCATTTTTTTGCGATTTAGCCTCATAAAGTAGTATGCAAAATTTTTTTTCCTGATATGCTTTATGTGTACTTTTTAATCTCAATTTATCGGATAGCTATTTTCTTAATAAACAAAAGCAACAGTTGTATATGTACATTAATATAATTTTTTTTTTATCAAAGTGTTTCATAGCAAATAATGGTTGCGAAAATGATCTTTCAAAAGCTTTGTTTATTATTTCAAAAGCATCAGTAAAAAATAGCCAAGCAAGTAAAATGTTAAAGGTAAGATTGTTGTAAAATCTTCTAATTATTGACAGTTTTTATATTTGTTCTAATTTTGATGCATTCATACATAAGGACTTATTTTGATTTATTTTTTGACTCATTTTCTTATATCAACTTGTTATAAATTTGTGAACTCATTTACATATAACTTTTGTATAGTTAATAATTGTTCATTTGATACCATATCAAAGGGTGTAGAATAGGGTGACAAAATAAGATAAATTAAAAATTTTAGAAAATTAAAAACCGCAGTTATCTTGTTCTACCTCATTTAATTAGGTTAAATACAAAATTTCAATTGGGTTTGTCTGTTGGAAGTGCTACATGTAATTTTTCAAATAATGAAAATTGGATGAACTACATGTTATTTTCATAGGTAATAGGGTGTGTCCTTTATTTATATTTTCAAAAATCAAAAAAATGTTTTACAAGTAGTTTAATAAAGGAAAATTTAAAAACCAAATTTTAATAATTGCTGGCTTGGTAAATTTCTATTTAAATACTTCACATTTTTGTTTGTTTTAGACATTTTTTAAAGTTTATTTTTGCATTAGTGCTGATATATATATTTTTAATTTATTTGCACTATTAGCATGTATACCATACATAGGCATAAGAACAGTGTGTGTGGAGGCGGGGGGAGGAGGGGGTGGACAGAAGAGTAATAGCCTTTTTCCTGCCAATTAACTCAAAGGAAGGTTCTTATTGTTATTCTTGCTCTGCAAATCCCCAACCCTGGTTGCTTTAGCCCCAGGTTGCTTCAGCCCCTTCCTTGACCATACTGCGCAGCTAACATCATGTAAGATGGAATGTTAATATTGAAAATTTTAAAAATTTATGTTATGTGAGCGTTGGGTCTTAGATACATTGACTATTTTTATAAAGTTGTATTTGTTTTCACTTTTCTTGTTGCAGGACCACGGAAAAACAAGGGTTGCTAAATAACATTTAACTTCCATGTTATAAGGTCTGTTAGCTGTTTAGCATTTGGATTTATTTCTGGTGTTCTTCTTAATGAGACAACAATCTCCAATTTGAGTTATCTTATCTCCATACTCCTCAATCTTTAGAATTCTATTTACAGCTTCTTTTCTTTCTTCTGAATTTTTGTTGCAAAGCATGGTTTGTAAAATTGGTCTGGTATGTGCGTACTATGCAGATCTCCTAGGGGGTCATACATAAAGTACGTACACTTTTTTTTGACCATTCCCCCTCGTACACTTTTTTTTTACCATTGCCACACGCTTTTTTAAGTACCCTCAAAAAAGCGTATGGCAAAATGTGGGAGGAAGGACATAAATAAAAGTAAACTAATTTAGGTGGATGATAGGAGGACCTAAATTTTAATAAACTTTGTTTTGTTTTTAATCTCAATTATCGTGTCAAGCATTTTTTTCAAGTGGTCCACACCATTTATTATAAGAAAGTGTTGCACTAAAGGTGTTGCACATCTAAATCTTCAATTAAATGTCTTAAACCTAATTCACTAATTTGAAGAGCACAAAAAATCCAAACTAATCTTCTATATAATTTATTTCCTACCTATTCCATGACTTCATACAGTCCTAAATCCATAATAGGTAATTTGAAGTATGGCTGGGTTACATAATATTAATTATGCTTATTATCTCATTTGTACTGGAACATGCAGTACTTACTTCAACAACCATTGGTATGTGTGTATATGTATGTATATGTATGTACATATGTGTATGTATATATATGTAAAAATGTTAGTTTTTAGGTTGTATTAATATTATATATAAGTACCAATTTTAGCAATTTGTTTTATTTTTAATAAAATTTTATCTAACAGCATTTTTCACATTGGTAGTATAGTTGAGTATTTTGTGGTTTTCTATTAGAATAATTTTTGTTATTTTTATATTATTATTTACATTTTAGTCTATTGTTTTTTGTCATTTTTGTTAAAAAAATTTAATTTACATTTTATTTTATATATTTATCTTATATTTATACATAAGTAACCATAAATCTACAGTAAATATGAAAGTTTAACATAGTTAAAACAAATATACATATGTATAGATATATCAATATTTAATATAAAATGATAGGAGGTATAAGATGAAAAAATGTTGTTTCCACAGAAAAATGTTTCTGTGTCTGGAACATGTCTGAGTTAGCTTTTAGAACCAGAAGATAACATAAATCCTATGTATAGATGTTAAATCTATCATAGGTAATTTGAAGTATGGTTGATTTTGTTTAAATATTATAAAATTAAAAATATATTAACATTATAGAGGTCAGTACTATTTTTATCTAGTTTATCCTGTCAAATAAACATCATCGGCATTTATGCTTTGCCCCGAAATTTATGCCTACTATATATATATATATATATATATATATATATATATATATATATATATATATATATATATATATATATATATATATATATAAATATATATATATATATATATATATATATATATATATATATATATATATATATATATATATATATATATATATATATATATATATATATATATATATATATGTACAGAGATCAAGTATTGCCATATATGTTATTTTAAAATTGTATTAATATTGTATTAATATTGTATAAAAGTACCTATTTTAGCAACTTGTTGTATTTTTAATAAAGTTTTATTTAAAATATTTGGTTTTTATACAGCGTCATTTATACAGCAAAAAAGTAGCATAACAGCTACTCCCTGAACCCTATCCAGCCAACCCAGCTATACTTCAAATTACCTATTATGGATTTAGCATCTATACATAGGATTTATATTATCTTCTAATTCTAAAAGCTAGCTCAGACATGTTCCAGAAACAAACATATTTTCCCATGCAAATAGCAATAATGTATGTAACTGTATGTGTTGCGCTGTATCACATACAGTTTATACATTATACAGATAACTGTATAATGATACTAAAAGCATCACACAATATAGATAAGAAAAGATAGTTATATAATTATTAAATAAGAAGAAATAAAAAAAAATAATATGCCAAAAAAAAATTGTAATAGATGTGTATATTAGCCTAAAGCCCAACCATTATTGACATTATTTTATTTCATTTGCAATGAAATGTTGATTTCTTCCATTCACTACTATAAAAATTTTTGTGGCATCTACTCTCTGGGTAGATGCCACAAAAATTTTTACTCTACCTCAAACTAATTGTCTAATTCTTTTTGTTAATTTTTCCAGAGCCTTTTTGACCTTGTTATGATCTATAATAAGATGGCGATCATTCTTGCTTACAAGCTTTACATCTAACAAAGTACCTGTGGCTCTTATTATTTCTGCAACTTTTTTTATTTTTGGTGTCTCATGCTAGTCAGAGTAATTTTTTTAATACTCGCATTATAGATAAAACATCTTCAGCGCACAAAATAAAAAATTGAAGGTAGGCAGTTAAATTGATCTGCAAACACATAGTCAGTCAACTGTTTTTATTACCCGGTCAAATAAAAAGCAACAAATAAACAACACATTGACAGTCAACTGTTTTTATTACCTGTTCAAATAAAAAACAACTTTTCAGTGTTTTAATTATCGTTTCACATACTAAACTTTGTTAATAAAATATACTTTATGCTTTGAAAGTATTACTTTAGAGATATTTTTAAATCAAATCATCACTTCTTTTTTTTTAATGAATACTCATAAAAACTTTTACCGTAAATAACTAATGCTCCAATAAAAGTTTGATCTAGAATAGCTCACATGCACTGATTAAAAACAAAGTTTTGATTAAAATGGAGGTTTGATAACATCAAAAAAACTTTAGTTTGCATTATATGTTTAATATTTCTATACATTTAATTCTTTATAAAATATAATTAAATTTATAAAGTTATTAATTAAACAGAAGAATATTTAAATAAATAAAAAGTTTTGTAATTTATTACTCCCGCTTTAAAGCGTACAAAAATATTCATTTGAAGTTTGATAAATTGCATCATAATGACGATTTTGGTCAGGTAGATCACATAAAACAATTTACTTAAAACCAATCCTATATTTTCACATATAAGTTCTTAATCCAAACTATTCCACTCAAATATTAAACAAGAAGCAAATGAACTGAAATTGAAATTTTTCAGTAGCAACTAATACTTTTAAACTCACATGGCAATAACAAAGCTAAAGATTAATTCTTGTGCAGACAATCTATTTTTTCTACTTGATCAATTATTAGGTTATCGGTTTAATAAAAATTATATGCGTATATATATATATATATATATAAATATATATATATATATATATATATATATATATATATATATATATATATATATATATATATATATATATATATATAGAGAGAGAGAGAGAGAGAGAGAGAGAGAGAGTGACAGGGAGGGAGGGAGAAAAGCCTCGTCAGGAACCAAGAGCTTAAGCTCTTGGCCATATTTTCCTATAATGGTTTACGATTTACAGCTCTTGCAAAAGCATTATTTTTCTCTCAAGTTTAATTATCATTGTAACTAAAATGAAAAACGCAAATTCAAAAAAAGTTAATTAAATGGGTAATAAACAGGCACAGTTTTTGCAAAAAAAAAAATAAGTCTAAAGAATTTTTTCATGGCGCAATAAATGACGCTTGTTATGTGTATATTATTGTAACATTAACGCTACAAACATATGCTTGTAACAAGTATAAAACCAAATTTTGTATTTAATAAGCATTTTTTATATAAATAAACAGATAGCTTTTGCAAAAACCAAAAGCTCTTGTAAAAAACAATTTAGAGGAACAGCTCGCATGGCTCGCCATGTTCGTTTTAGAAAAGCTTTTCTCCACTTTTGCACTCAAAAATGGCAGGGCCTTGGCCCTGACCCTAGCTAAAAATGAGACTTTTTGCAAACCTGGCCCCAGCAAAATTATAAGATTTAGCAGGGGTTGATAGCCTGAGTTAGAAAAAAATTTATATAATAATTTTATGCTTATATAAGATAAATATAAGAAAAATATAAATGTATGCC